CCCCAGAAGGAAGGGGGGAATTTTTGGAAAAAGTTTTTTAAAAAAGGAGTGGTTTTTTGTAAATTTCAGAAAAAGAGAAAGTTTGGAAAAATTACAGTTTACGTTCGGAAAGGGCGAACCTCCAGATCGAATGGCGTCTGCAAGGCGGCGTTTCCGAGGTTTCTTCACATCGATGTCGATGAAACTTGTCAACATCGGGCTGGACGATGACTCCTCGGGGCGGCGCCGGGGAAAAGGGGAAATGCGTTTGTGGTTAAGCGTCAGCCTGAGGGGCGTAAGCCAGTCTGGAACCAAATAAAAAGTATTTCAGCTCCGTTTTTGGCAGACAACATTTATTCTTCGAAAGACTGTAGCTTTAACGTTATGTATTACTTATTTTTTAATTTCAGAGTTCGGCTGGAAGAAGTGGAATTTTCCACGAGTCAAAATGATGTTTTGAAATCCCTATTATAAATATATCTAATGGCAAATTACGAAAATTTACTGATTTTTGGAAAAACCTAACAAATTACGATACATTCATGATATTGAGGCAGGTATGAAAATATATTTCGTATTATTCGCAGATGCACCGAAGATAAAAAGAATAAATGAAGTCGTGGAAAAATCGAACAAAATCGTTTGAAGGAGGTGAGAACACGACGGTAGAAATCCGATGATCGCAGATTGCATGAGGCGAATGCTCACCAGGGGCTTGCTATGCACGTCATAGTCGATGGGGTAGACAGGGGGCAGGCCGTTGGACAGTCGCTCCAGCTGGTAGCGGTTGAACAGCTGCTGCAGGTAGTAGTAAAAAATCTCTCCGCGGCGCGGCGCCACGCCGACGCCGTACTTGGAGGCGCTGAACCACACGGGGTACTCGTAGTTGAAGTAGGTGTGGAAGGTGCTGAGGCCGATGTCCTCGGTGAAGTAGTTCAACAGCTGCTCAGGGTTGGACACCTGAAATGGGGCAATCATTACTTTAAATAATGTTACGTAATTACGTTAAATAATGTAAACACGATATCGCGGCGAGTACAGTCATAAGAAGTTTTAGTTCGATTCAACAAAGCGTGTAATACGCCTTATACGAATTCAGAGTACATTTTCATTTCACAATATATTAAAAATCTGATTAGTTTATAATGGTTGTAAAAGAGCCAAGTGGAATATTAATCGTAGGTAAAATGAATACTCGTATTAATTACACATTTAAGCTTTAAACTACTTGTATGATCTATGTAAGAAACGTATCATTCCACAGAAAGTTAAAAAGCAGTTGAATCTAAATCAAATGATATTACGCATCATTCGTCTATGATGTCAAAATAATACATATGATTCGTTAAAATCAAAAGTGTTGAATAATAAAACAAAAAGAAAATATGCTTTATAATAAACCAATAAGTGGCACACGTGATTTCAATGCACGGTATTAACCAGACGCATCACGATGGGGTAGATGGTTACCTGCGGGTAGGTGTAGTACCAGGCGCTGCTGTTGGTGTAGTAGGCGGCGTTGATGGTGATGGGCAGCTCCTTGCCCTGCAGGTACTCCTCGGTGGCCTCGTGGATGATCTCCGAGTTGACGAAGAACTCGGGGTAGATCTCGTAGGGCGGCGGCAGCACCACGTCGTGTGTGTCCTGGCGGTGCAGCACGGCCACGCTCAGGGCGTAGATGAACTGGCCTTCGTTGATGCGGTCGCGCAGGTAGGCGGCCGTCTTGTAGAAGGTCTGGTAGTCCACGGCGTTGTACAGCGCGTCGAAGACCAGCACGGCCTGCTTCACGTGGCGCTTGTACACCACGGAGAAGGGCTTGTGGCGGGGCAGCAGCTCTCCGGCGCGGTACAGCGCCAGCAGCTTCTTCACCGCCTGCGACACGGCAACCCGCAACCTCTCAGCTCTACTCCGTTAGCACGGCAAGGCACCTACTCGACGTTTTTGCAAGGGATATCGAAGAAACCGTTCGAGATGTGGGCGAAAACTCTTTTTAACACTACTTGAGTTTATCCACATCGGTCATGGGTTTAGTCTTTCAAAAAATAGGCGTACTTATTTGTTTCTCAAATAGGACTTTTAAAACCTAATTTTACTATTATAGTGATTCTTATTTTTGATCAAAATTGTTTTATTTCCAAACGCAACGCTTTTGGAATTTGCATCATATACAACATATATCCGAATAATTGGATGAAATTGTTACAGTCAAAATTGACAAGAGAGAGTTGATTAGAGAACAGATGCTCACGTTCAGAAATTATCTAAATAACCTCGTGGCAAATGTGGAGCGCTCGTTCAATAAATTCGATATTATGAGGGATACTTTAAACGAAAGCAGCTCACTATGCGATGGGAATATACGAACCTCCTGGTCCTTGTAGAGGTCGAGGTGTTCCTCAGGGTTGAAGGACTGGGCCACCTCCAGCACCTCGGCCACGTAGCTGGGCTGATGCACGCGGATCAGCAGACGCAGGATGTCGCGCTGCTTGTTCAGCAGCTCCTTGTCCGCTGCGACAGAGGGCCACGGGTCTCACTCACGCTAGAGCTGGGCAGCCACAGCCGCAACTGGCCCGGGGGTGGTTTTAAGCGCATGTGCGTGTCGCTTGGTGTGTTGGATGCGGAGGGGAAATGAACGTGTAACTGCGTGTGTGGGTAAAGGGTGATACTGCATGTAACTGCGTGTGTGGGTGAAGGGTTTCTGTTCTCTGCTTGGGCTACAGAGTTTTCTCACTGTTGGAAGGTGGGTGGTCCCTAGGTGAGTTTGAAGGGTGGGGTGGGGGTGAGGGAGGGTGAGCAGCTCACGCGGACTTTGCGCGTGCGCTCGGGATGACGGGAGGCGCGCGGCGAAGCGCGCGACGAGCCGCCAGAACTCAGAAACCGTGGCGGTCGCAATGGAGCTGTTCTGGGAATGTGCTTTAGGGGCAGGGCGCGGCGCCGCTTTAAGGCGTCGCTTATCTCGGACTCTGCTCCCGCCGCCGGCGGCCCCCGCCCGCACTGCTTCAGCCTGTGCTGGTCCCTGTGGGGCGATTCCGTTGCGGCCGAGTGGGCCGTTCAGGCAGTGGCTACAAACCCGTTATGACAATTCTCTGCTGCTAGAGGTGATAAGGTAGACACTTTCTGGAAATAATTTTGAATTAAAATAAGTTACATTTATTTTAATTTTGATATAGGTAAACAGTTTCAAATTTTCTACTCCATTTGTAAGTTATATCAATACATACATTGATACGTTAACAAGTAAAATTTTTTAAAAACCATTTATTAACCGTAAGTGTATTAAATGTCCGTAAAATGAATATAATTATATATTTTGTGCGAAATTGCTGAATAAAAATCTTGATGTATTTTTGTTAATTACTAAGGTACTGATTTTAAATGAAGTGCTATATTTTATCTTTTTATTTTAGAACAGTGCTGTATCATATAGAGATCCATTTTATGCTACGACGAAACGAATTTACCCATTTTTTTGCATGTTTCGTCGATTTTACTAATTAGTCATTTTTTACAATTTTAGGTCATATTTACCACATTTTTACTCTGATTTCATTGAGTTTAAAATCATTTTAATGGTATTCGTTTCAAAAAATATTTACGTGGTACAAAAAATGTTTACCAGCGAATTCCTGAGTATCCTATTCAATTTCTTCATTCAATCATTTATTGTAATGTCTGCTGTTGGGAGTAATATGTAGTCTAAGGTTACTGGGACGTTTTATCGGCGTCATTTTCTGTTCGTTGGATTTCAAGATAAATAAAGGCAGAGATTTTCTTTTAAAGGACAGTCCAAACCCAAAGTTTACCAGTTGAGTTCAATTGGACAAAATGGAGAAAGCCTAGATTACATTAGTAACATATCCAACAGCTTTAGTTGTTCATCTGAAGTGGGGTTATTAAAAAATTACGTAATTTTTCTTTGTTTTCAGGGACTATTTTTAATAATTGTAAGAACATTTTGTTTATCACTTATTGAATTGTTTTAGGTCATCAAAATCCGCACTTATTAATTACATTTATTGTCGACAGTGTCCCTTTAATAGGTTACTATTGCGAGATCACTGGTTAATTTTGATTGATATACCAGTGAAGTATTATCGAAGTTCATTAGGGCATCGAAGAGTTTCTGACTATTGCACATATCATCATTGCCTATTCCGTATCGATATTGTTAGAAAGTGAAATGTCATTAATTTCAGTCCTTACTTTTACCCTCAAAAATTCCTTTTTAATAAATTCTTATTTTGCATTGATAGGTTTCCGGTTAGGTATTCTTAATTAGCATGCGTTATTGCGGTCAATATCGATATTTAAGGAATCGAAATAAACAGAGAAACATGTGTCAAGTCTTTGGGTGTAAATTTTGTGGTAAACCTGTATAATTGTTCAATCTGGTTGTAGAAATTAACGTGACGAGGAATATATAAGAGAAAAACGTGCGTTAATGTTGGAAAGGAGAATGACAATTCTCTTCGGTTTTAGAACCTTTGCTGGTGTACTTTTCAGTGAGGGTGATGTTTGTAACGTTTAAATTTTTTGTATTAAGACCAAATGTTGTTTCACAAGTAGCACGTTTGCTCATGTTAAATATTGTATGTTGTTCTATTAATCAGTTTCAAACCAACGTGATTATGATAGTACTTGTTTATGTTGAAGAAGACGTGGCGTGTAAAGGAGAGTATCGACATTTTAAGTTAATAACAATTGAATTAATTTTATAAAAACAAAAGTTTTGACAAAATAACTGCTCTCCGCGGGCTGTCATGTTCAAACAGGTGAAGTAAACATCTGTGCATGATATAGTTTTTGGATGATTGATGCCAAGTATGGGGAGGGTAACATTTTCTAATTTAACTTATTGTATTACATATAAATATATTAATGTTATTGTCTAATGAGTAGTAATAAATATTCGTTTATCATTTTGTTTTGTTTGCTCATTGATTATATGTTTTTGTCATGCGTAGTCTGTTATGTAGCTTTTTTTCATGTTTCATGGCTTCACAATTTTGGTGTTTGTTTGAAGTATTTTGGAAGAAAATTTTTATTAATAAGAGCGCTAGACTGTCTATGTGAGAACTCTTTCTTGTGTAAATTCGAGTTACTCGCCAAATTAACCGTGTATGAAAGAAAAAAACTATTAATGCTGAAACAGCACAACCTTTTTTTCGCATAATTGATAACTTGCAATTTTCGAAAATTCTGAAATTGGAACGAAAAAGAGGTCGGCGCAATTTGAAGCATCTTTTGCTCAATCAGGGAACAATAAAATATAATAAAGAATACATTTATTGCAGATTTTTATTTTTATTACAAATTGCCGTTTTTTGAAGCAAGATTTTCGCGCAGCCTATTAGTTTTAAACAAACTGTAAATGTCCTTACTTACAGATTTATTTTTTCAGAAAAATTTCGTTAAGAATAAATCTCCATCACCAATGTTGTATTTTTGCAATGTTAATTTTTTGCAGTTTTCGAAAATACATAAGTTTGCTAAACACGAGACCTGCACCATATTTCGAAGTTCTTGGGTCTAACCGAGAAAATAATTTAAAGCAAAAAATTGGACCCGTTTTTGAGAAAAACATGTTCAAATGTATTTTACGTGTGTTATTTAGATGTAGTTTACGCTACATTACCCAAAAACTACTTATTTTCTCGAAAAATTGTACATGACGTGATTTAATGATGTCTTTGAATAGCATTAAGAATAAAAACATTTAGAAAACAACATTAAGAAAAAATCTGACTCTCTCTTCAAAAGTGTAGTCTGTTGTGGAAAGACACTGAAAAAAATTGAAAGTTGTCATTTTGTAAAATTTAGACTAACGAAAATGACATCTTACCTGGGTTGTGTGACGGAAAGTTGGCGTAAGAATGGCATTTGATATACATCTGAGGTTCTGTAATTTTATTACCGAATCTTCGAGACTCAGCATCTAAACCTTACGATAGGGTAAGGGTTCTCAGAGAAGTAGAAATGAAAATGTAATGAAAGTCCAAAAAATGAATTTGAACGGCAGGAGGAACGTTACTGGAGATCGACTAAAGTCATGTTTTCAGTTCTGAACATTTTGTTAATTCTACAATCAAAGTAAGAAGTAAAATATTTAATGGGTTCATTGTTGAGGATTTACATTTGCGCTTGCCTAATTTTCATGCGTTTTATTAAATAATAAGCATAATTAATATTTACAAAATCACTCCGATTTGTTAACACGTGATGAAATTCCTCTTCTTTTGACCCCTCTTTTATTAAGATTGGTTTGTTATGACGGCCTCTAAACATAGCTATACTATTAAAATAACATATATTATCCACAATATGCAGTGATTTTCCATGTGATAATTCATATTTATAATTACAGGTGTTTCGATTTGAATAAACTGCCCCAAAAGGGTATATTTGTTACAGAGCGAAATGTGTAGAATGAAGCGTATTAACTTATGGTGAAATATGGAAGGGAAACTTAGTATAGCTCACATTATAAATGAATCTTTGTAACGGAAAATTTACTCAGAAATAATGAGTTGCCGGCGTTTTTTCAATTAATTTTATTGGAATGTTACGAGAAGCGAGCGATATTCTGCCGCTTCTTGGGGACTGGAGAAGTCATTAAGTGTGGTATTTTAATTGACGAACAGTTCAGTATTACACAGAATCGCATAGTCAGTTCATAGGTCACCTCTATGGATGAAAACCAACATAAACAAGGCATTATTGTGTGGGAATTATCTCCAAATGCTGGAATATTTCCAGGTTATAAGAAACGGTCGCTTCGTCTCACTGAAGCTGTCCGTCCGATAACAGTACCGTTCAGACGTTTGTTTACGAATCCCGTAGAATCGACTCTATGACGGAACAAGATTGTGGAAACATACGTTCGAGAGAGATTCAAACGTGGAGTAAATAGAAAATATCGGATTGATTGTAAATATATTATAACAAATATCTCATTGAACAATTTGGAGCCGATTTTGAGAAATGGTTTTTGTGAAAAAGTGCAATTTGAGCTCATTTTCACAGAAATATTTTGACTTTTCGAGAAAATTAATTAGAAATTATTTGAACTCGTGCTCTCAAATGCAGTAATGTACAAAAAACGTAACATTACTATTAAAGGCGTGAGAGACGTTTCTAAAAATTACATTTGTTTAATTTTTGAAAAATCTAAACAATACTTCAAAATGGCATTTATGTCATGTTACTCAGTATATTTAGCACTCTCCATACAAACATAACAAATATTTGAAGAAAAAACAGGGCTTTTTTTGAGAAAATCTTTTTAATATTGCCTTAATTCACTCAAAATTGTGTAAAATCTACAAATATTTTCAGAAAATGAACAGCACGTTAATTAAAGAACTTATAATAGCGAAAAAAATTGATTTAAAAAAGTTCTATTTTAATATGGTAATTGTAGGAATATGCTAAAACAATTTGAAGGTGTGTAATTTTCAAACATTGAGTGAATTCAAGATAAAGAAGTCACGCGCCATTTTATACGCG